TATAATATAATATATTGAAAATGATAAAGATAATGTACACAGTAAATCCCATTTGAAACGTCATGAGTAAAGGTGAAAAGATCAAAGTTCAACACTTCAACAGTTCAAATCTAAATTATGATATATCGGTATACCCATTGCTACAATGTACAAATGTACCACAGAAATAAGATAAAAAGTTACAGAACCTGAAAACAGTTTTAATAAAATTATCCAAGCCTTAAGAATAGAAACCTCTCTATGTAAACAAAACTAGAGTTTAAAAGCTCAAGGGCTGGTGGGGCACCTGATGTCTATTTTGGCTATTACAAGGCCTAGAGTGCTCATATTTGCCGTGGGACATGCTGTGTTAGTGGGGATTTGAAATCAATAGTTCAAAAAGTATATTGTGTATCGGTTGCTATGGAAAGGGGGGCCATCTTGGATTTTGTATACTTATTTCAATCCCATTTTATTCCCTTATTTGTAAAAAAAATGGTACAAGTTGTCGGGTACCGGGGCTCGGCGCGTCTTCAGAATTTGTTAACCTCGCCGGGTCCCGGGGCCCGGCACGTCGTCAATGAGTTAACTTCGAATTTGGCATGCAAACAGTAAATATGTAGCTCTTAAATTTGGCTAGTGGAAATTTTGTTATATACTTTAGATCTTATTTTATGACACTTACAATTGGGTTGTTGCAAAAAAGTGAAAAAAAAAGGAAAATCATGTTTTCTAAGCCTATAAAATTAAAAAAATACCCCTTTAATCAAACAAAATCAGCCAATTTAGAACTAGGTGTTGTTGGTATCCTGTGAAAGTTACATTAAAATTGAAAAAGAAACAGAGCAGAAAAATGGGATAATGTGTGAAAAAATAGAATTGTGAGAAAACGGATGATAAAGATAAGAAAAGGCTGGAAAACATGTGCTTTCGCAGAAAAACCTGACAAAAAACACAGCTTTAGGATGTAGCAAGGCTGACATACGTTTCTAGACATTGTTCAAAAGAATGTCCAGGTACAATAATATGTAATCTCCCTAATTCGCATAATTTGACCCCAAAACATGATTTCTAGGTGCCCCACCAGCCCTTAACTGTTGTCAACCTTTCCATGATTTTGCTGTGAATGCTGCACGATAATGTCGATATCAACGGTTAGGGAAGCAATAGAAATATGTTGGGTTTTTAAAGAAACCGTTAATAATTTTTTCATGAAAAGAAAACAAATGAGATTGTACTGAAACAATCCTGAATGGGTTGCCTACTTTATTTTAAAAGCCAATTTTGAAGAAACAAATACTTCTAAGACTTGAATTGATAAAAAAGCTTTGGATACAATAGATATAAAAGACAAAAGAGGCAGGGGAAGGTTGCCAAGAGCAATTTACTAAGTAAACTTAAACAGGCGGATTTTGGGAAAAGACCAAAACAATGGGCCTTTCTTTTATTATGCGAGAAGGAAAATAAGAGAGGTCAACCATGATCACCGATGTGTGCATGAGATCTGGAAGTCCATGAAGATGATGATGATGATGATGATGATGATGACGATGATGATGATGATGATGATGATGATGATGATGATGATGATGATGATGATGA